ATAAGAGACAGGGCTGTGGGACAGCCCTGCCCGGCAAACGCCGCCCCAGGGGCAAAAACCGACCCGAACGGTGGCTTCAGGCAAGAGGTGCGGGTCGCGCTGCCAACGGCACGCTCTCCCGTCTAAGAAAAACGGCCCCGGGGAAGGGGGGTTACGGCACGACTGCGCCCCAGCATTTCCCATTCCTGAAGGGCTGAGGGGTACGCGCTGCTGCGAGGGCGCCTTAGCCGGAGGGGAGCCTGTTACTAGGCAAGACTGTGTGAGGTGAACTGTGCTCGGGTACTTAAGGATTTAGGATCCTCTTTTTAATAACCCGGTAGAAGCACAGAATGATTAAGTCATTTATTAAATGTTGGGTATGAAGGACTGTACCCGAGCAAATAGCAGAAGCCGGGTGTTATGGCTTGTAGTTCTGTTTTTTTAATTAAGAGCCATCTTCATGGCCATTTGGGTGGGTGCTTGAGGGGAGCAATACCTACTTTAAAGTGCACGCTTTTTTTATTTCAGTCATGCATGCACTTTGATAGTGCCTGAATTATTTTTGACATTTGGTGATAATTGATTATTAATGAGAAGATGCCTGGGAGGAACAATTTAGGCATATTATTCTATTTACAGTTCACTAGATAAATATTGAATATCACTGAATTAATTATGGTGTCACAAGAGAATATCTATTATTTTAATAAAAAAAGTCGAGTTAATCAAAATACTGCTCCTGGAAGAATAATTTGCATTTTTCCAAGTCCGCTTATTGTCATTCTTTTAACATTCAAATGACAAGTAGTGACAGAAGGCAGAAAGATTCTTCACATATACCTCAGAAATTCTTTTCTTGCCTTTCCCCCCTCCCAGTGTATTCACTGTTGTATATGTTGTATATTGTAATACATACAGGTATACAACTGCAGCAGGAGCATATGGTTCCATGCTCTCAGAGAGGTTGCTGGCAAGGAACAGATCTCCCTAACCAAACCGCAAGGATCTCTTTTTCCGTTACTTCTATTCTTACACTTTTTAGAAGCCTTGCAGGGCACATAAACAAATTAAATCTTTCTTTCCCCATCCACTCTGGGGGACTCTGAACTGGGTACCTATGCCTGCACTGCCATAATCTAACATGGGGATTTCACACAGCTTCAAGAAGAGCCTTTCTAGATACAGTCCTTCCAGAACCATCCTGTGGCAGAAGCTTCTGACCCTAAACTATGCCACAGTGCACTGCTTTGTCCTTTCAGGTCAGCCTCCGATTGAAGTTGGATGTTTGGGGAGAACACTGTAGGAAAGCTTGCTTACCTTCTCTTCTGGAAAAGCCCAAAGAAAACAACATTTCGTGTGAATTTTTTCGTTCTGTCTACCCTCAAAAAATACAGATTATGATCCAACTCTTGGATCATCTCATGATTTAGCCTCTGAGGAAATTGATTTTGGAAATCATCCAAGGCAGACACACAAAAGGTTTTCAGATGTGTTTGTACTGAAGACGATGAACTACCAGCTCACTCATCGCAGGCTTTCTAAAACTGATTCTGGCTAGAGAACACTCAGCCCCCTCACTGAGCTCCCTGCTCCTGTATTTGACAGAGACAGGCCAGTTCTCCCTTCCCACTACCCTCCATTTTATGCAGCAGAATTTGTGTACATTTTACAGTTGAGATTGTCCTGACAGTCTTTCATTCTGGTCCTGAATTGCAACAGCAATTGCAAAGCATCCTGGTTAGGGAATGGTAGAAGAATTAAAGAAGTTTCCAGAATAACTAGAAGAAAACAGATTGAGGATTTTGACGATTGTTTCAGTTTGTTACAATAAAATACAAGTTGCTCTCTATTTTGTGGCAAAAATAGTTTTACACAATTTTCTTAAATAGTTTGTGAATTGTATTACCTATGTAGAAGGAGCCAGTAAATTGATATATATTGCATGCAGCTAATTTGAGACCAAATAAGTGAGAAAAGAATAATTTATACGCTCCATATATTCTATGATTTTCTTATCTTTGTAAAAGATAATTATTTCATCTTTTTAAATAACATTGTTTATGTAAAACAAGATTGCCAAGACTATGAGATGTGTTGGGGCAGAGCATAACAAACTTTAAATCCTGCTTTTGTTGAGAAGCCAAGTCCCACAGGGCTGTGATTAGCCCTTATACATCAAGACAGGGTACAAATGCTTGTTCACTGTCATTGGAATTATTAGACCTGCCAGAATTTTCTGAAGAGCACAGAATGAGAAAATTACTGTAATTTTGCAACTGAGGAATGTGTTTCCAGAATACAAGAACGGATGCTTTAAATACTTGACACTGCAGAATCTGCCTTTCCGACAGGTTTTGAAGATCACAAAATCTTTTGCTTGTGAGCCAGGCTGGGGCCATCAGCATTCTTGGTTTGAGCCACTTTTATGGCTTTTCTACATGCCACATTAGTATAAAGGAAAGCAGGGTATGAATTTACAGTATGTTAACTGTTTTTCTATGGAAACTTATTCTCCCCGCCCCATGCAAATGAACCGTAAAGTCTTTGGCTGACCATGGCCATTTTGTTGTGTAGGGTTCAGGTTCAGTGGGTTCCCACTGGAGTGGAATGGTAGAGGCTACAGGTACAGTGAAAAACTTAGGAAAGTGTAAAATGGGAGGCTAATCTGAATGTTTATATGAGTAATAAAATGCAAGGGCGGTAGTGCCATTTGTATTTACCTCAATACTGCTTTGTGTGTGAAGGATTTGGTTAAGTATTAAGAAATGGTATACATAGTCCTTAATCCTGGTCTTAAATTGCAATAGGAAATTGAGAGGTAAGAAGTTTGATGTTCTATTACTCGTCTGCAAAGCCCACCAAGCCTGTTGAAAGATTAGCATGAAACTGAAACAAGGAAACTAACATTTTGTTTGAGCACTTAGGGTTGGGTCTGGCTGTAAAAGACTGTTCCATTGTTAACAGAACATGAATGCCCTTTTAAACTGCACACAGAGATAGTAGCAAATATAGATCAGTGAGGGTTATTGGTACAATAGCAAGTTACTCTGAATCAAGAGGCCCAATTTGAACAATTTAAAAAAAACAGTTACCTTCATTTTTAGGTGTCTAACCTAAGACTCTGCCTCGACCTATATTGCCTGCACCAGAGCAGGACCCAGCGTGCCTTGCTTTTGACATAAACCCTCTGTCTCCATGGTCATGGTAGATGCCCATAATTCAACTGTGAGCTTTCACACAGTCCTAAAGGCAGTCTGAGCTCATGCTGCTGGTAAATTACAACTGTCCTCCCAGCAGGCTGTGCTGAAGCCCTTCTGCAAAATAATCCATGAGTAATTTGCCTCTTCAACATTAACCATGGGACACTGCTGCATAACAACATTCCTGGTCCACCTACACAGTGCCTAAATCTGTGCTTGGTCTGGAGGGCAGGCAGAGCCTTGTTATCCTGCCTAAGCCCATGGCTTTATGTCTGGCAGCACAGTTTGGTTCTATCCTGTGAGTATGAAGGGCTTAACTTTCTCTCTCAGTGTGCCTCTAGGCTCACCTACAGCTTGCACCACTCATCGAGGACGTGAGGGAAATGGAAGCTTCAGTCCAGGCTTAAAAATATAATGTTAACACACCTCTGGAAAATTCCAGAATTAATAATTAACCTTGTTGTAAAGAAAAATCTCTTTGTGACCATGTTGGCATAAATCATTATAAAAAAATATAATAGGTATATTATAGGATAGTATATCCATATCCTATGTGGATAGGACAAATTAAATAGAAACTGCTTCCTGTCTGCAGTCTGTTTCCTACCTGGAGAAACAGTGACTTTCAATCCAAGCATGAAGCAGATCATCGACACTAAAATTAGTGGAAAGAAAAGCAGTGTCCCTCCTTCTCTGAATGCTACCTGAGAAGACAGAACAGCTCCCTTCTCTGTCTCTTTCTTTAATTTTTTGAAGCATTCTGTTTTGTAAATGGTTGCATTCCTTGTGAAAGTAAAATGGCTCCCCTAGTTGCTATCGACAGTCAAGCTAAAGGATAATCGTGACTACCCTAGAATTAATACAGCAGTTCCCGTTAAAAAGTCTGTATTGAAGCAGGAATCTTCAGTCATTTCTGTGGGAAGGTTTGTTTTGGTAGTTGTTAATGCAGTGCTACAAAACTGAACTATGTGAACAGTTAGCATGTTATTAATCAACACTGATTTTCAAACATTTGTTAGAGATGAACAGCAAAGTTTCTCAGCTATCAAAACTGCAGGTACACTTTCTTATGAAAGAAGAGACAAGCAGCACTGAAGAAGTTTGATGTGGGACTGCATTAGCTAAACTGATGCAAGTCCTTTTTAAACTGACATAGAAGTTGCTCCTATGTAAGAAGCTTAGTAAAATCATGCCTCTAGGTAACTGGATGAAAATAAAGCATAGGTGTATATTCAGGGCATATGTGTAATAGAGCTTTGTATGGAGTTCTGTCACCATAGTAAATGGAGTCACTTGTTTACACCAGAAGCTTGACAATAGGTTGTTTGGGTTTTTTTTTAAATAATTTAGCTGTACATGTACAATCTCCTTCCGCAGCTGCTCAATATCTTACGTAAAAATAGATTAACCCTCTTACCACCTTATATCAGATGTATACAAACACATCATTTAAAGCTCTTCTGTACATAACAACAACGTAAAGATACGTAAGTTAAAGACACTCTAGATGTAGGCATTCTCCAGCCATCTACCCAGAATCATACGCACATTTCTACTGACATACTGTCATAATAGACACCCAAAGCACGGTAGTCTCCAGATCCACTGGGGCATGCATACAGCCTGTTAACCCCTTTCCCAGACCTTCCTGGTAACTACAGATCCAGTCTTTTTCAGTGGTAATAATTCAGTGTTCATAGTTTTACACTGGTATAATCATTTTGCCAATTATAACTGAATCCACAGGTTGATCTCTCTCCGCTGTGGTGACTTGAGAGGGCATAAAAAGCAGAAACATCCCACTTTTCTATCCCCATGCAGCCATATTTTGTCATAAAAGTTAATATATCTGTCTTTGAATATATGTAAGGATAATATAAATAGATTAAGAAAAGCCAGTTTTTATGTAATCACACCTCCAGTGTTTGTTTCCCCCATTTTTTTTTCTAGGACTGCACTGTTGACCTCTGTTACTTTTTATCTGTTTTTCAGAGCAGCTGAATTGCAGCTAGGTGAAGATTTACCTATGGAAGTGAGAGCAAAGGTGACTTTCCCAATGTGATATGAGGACCCTTGTTATATGGTGCCTCTATCCTTGCAGTGGCTGTGCAACTAACTACCTTTTTGACCAGGCTTCAGCCACTATCAGCATTTTACACTTCTGGTGGATTCAGAGACTTCAAAGGAGGAACAAACAGGTCATCTGTGCAACCTTTTGTACAGCACCGCTCAAAAAATGTCACCAAGCTACTGAGATAAGCATGTTTTCCATTTACTGATGTCTCCTATGACACTGAGGATTAGATTGACAAACTGAGCTGACTCATGCAGTTTCATGGAGCAACCCAAGAGGATGGAAATATGTGAGAGAGCAGGCAACGCCTTTTCCTCATACTGGCAATAGTGAGATAGCAAATCAAGTTAATCATAAACAAAATTCAAGCAAGTAGCAGAAAGCTCTCCAGGCTAATATTTAACCCTGATGTGATGAACAGCAGTACCTCTGACAGATGATTTTTTTTCCCAGAGAGTCAATTTACTGAGGCATCCTTTATTTGTGGGCAGGAATCTCTGTTGACTTAAAGCCCTTCAATTGCATATGTTTGCACTAAGGTAGTAAATGCACGTTTCTGTTTTTGGTGTTTCCTGCATTTTTGGGGGAAACTTGGTGGACCAGGAACTGATAGTATAGCTTCTACATTTAACAGGAAGCTTTTAATTTGTTTTCAATCTTGATGCAAGATATTGCTGCCCTTTAGAGAACTGCATTAATTTTAGACATTTGGATTAAATCAGTAGCCTGAAGTGGACTGTGTGTATTGACAGCTGCTCCTATTACTAAATCCTTGGAACTCTTCATAAGACAAAGAGAAAATACCCCCAGCAGTTAAAGTAGACTAAAGATTAAGAAAGTATTTTCCTCCAGCTGCTGTCATCTATGTTGTTTTCCCTCTGACGTACAAACCCAGTTAAGGAAGAACTCTTTGGGGCCTTTTTTGTGTGCCAAGCTCAACGGCGGCACTTTAAAACAAAAGTGGATTGGTAACAGCTGTCTATAATGAAATCTGCTATGGATCACTTTAGTTAATTTCCCACAATCTCAAAACATGGCTATAGTGCTGGTACTGATGCTAAAGCAGAACTGGTCTTTATTTGACAATGTCATCCAGGCCCTATTGCAACTAAGAGCCCTCAGCAGGCGGTTTGTATGTTCAGCTAACAAGAGAAGAGTGAAGAAAAGGAGGAGGTAATAACATGATGTGTCTGATGAACACTCTTAACAAATGGAAGAGAAGAGGGAGACGGTGTATGTAGCACTGACTCTTGACCTGGATCATACCCACTTTCAGAATTCTCCAAATGTTAACAGAAGATTATGCTATCCATTTCAAAAGTCAACAGTGAGAAAATCTTCTTGTCTTGATGCAGTAGGGACTGCCTCCACAGCTGGGTTGTACATAAATGCTTCTATGTAGCCCTTATGTTTTATTAGAGGAAGTAATGGGTGTTTGGTGTTTTTGGAAATGTTGCTTTCATCTCAATGGCATTTATGATGTCCAGCTTGGAACAAGAGAAAAAGAAAATTATTCAACTTTGTGCACTTCTGTTGCTCTGTTTATACTTGACCACCTTTAAGTTTGTTTATTGTTATTTACTGATTAATGTTCATACAACATGTGAATAACAGATAATGCCCACACCTGTTCCACTCTTTTAACATCTTTTTTTCCTACCAGTTCCTAATTTCTGTTAGAGGTTGATCTGAAAATGCCAACAATATCAACTGCAGTTTTACAAAGACAAAAACTCAAAGCATATCTGAAATATTTTTGTTAATGCTGAAAGTTACTGTGGGAGGGATGAATGAAAAGTATCCAGTGGGATTATTTTCTTCAGGGAGACCAACCTAAACTTCCACATAATTTGGGAACTCTCACAATAATGAAAAATCAGTGGTATGTTAAAGAGATATTGAAATCTTAGGGACACAGGCATTTTGTGAAGGAAAAGCAAAGTATGTAAAATGGAAAAGGCTGAAGATCATAGAGAATAATTCCCATTGTTAATAATCACAATTCTGTGCGAAAAACAAGAGAGGTATCAGCCATTTTCTTCTTATAATCTTCATCAAATTTCTTATTCTGTGCCACAGTGAAATAATTCTTCCAGTCCCCAACAACACCTAAGAAACAGCAAAGCAAAAAAAGATTAATTACTGGGATTTCCCATTAACTATGACTCACTAGATACTTATACCTCAAGGCTTATTTCAAAACAGAATGACAACCAGGAAGACAGAGTTGATGCCAGTTACAAAGCTCAGTACCTTTTCTCATGAATGGGGAGACAGAGTGATCCATTATTCCCTGAAACTCTTTAGTGTAGTTTGTCATGGGATTTTCTTTCATTATCTCAAATGAAGTGTTATGGAGTATCTTGTTTAGAACTTCCTGACTCACGTCCTTCTCCAGGAACTTCAGGATCTTCTGAATTTCTTGCTTTGGATTCTGCAGAGAGTAACATGGGATAAGATACAGAGCCAGGCAAAGCAAACAAATCATCATGTTAAGGTTGCAGTTGTCAGGGTGAGACAATCAGGTTAACTGAAGATTTACTGATACATTTGGCATTATAATAGAAAACTGTTGATTGTAGGTAGTATCTACTGGACTTCCAGATTTCAGAGCTCTATAAACATATATTCAGCCTTTTACCTCCTTCATATCTTCATAGAAGAGGTAGAGAATACGGTGTTTATCTTTTGCCTTCCACCATCCTTTTACATGGTCATACCAGGAACCCCAGAGCACTGAAAAAGGAGTCATATCATCAGCAGCTATAAATGCTCAAACTGGCTTTAAGTATCTGTGTCACTCATGTTTCCTTCATAACCAGGGCCTGGGCATTTCCCAGCTGTTTTTTAATCACTGTGGCCATGACTGCTGTCCTCTGTGCTTATCACAGAATTTGTGCTTTTAATCCCTCAAGTGTATGGATGCTTAGAGCAGGATTCATGTGTAACTTTAGAGGGCCACAAATGTGGATGCTTACCTCTGCATGAAAAATCCAGGCTGCCTTTATGATTGATGGAGAGAAACAAACGTTTCCAGAACGATTAATCTGATCAGCTGGACAAGACTGGTCTTAATCGGCCCTGCTTTGAGCAGGGTGTTGGACCATACGAACACCAAAGGTCCCTTCCAACTTGCGTTATTCTGTGATTCTATCTGGCTTAAATATTTGGTATACTATCAGAAGTGCCTGTTTCTCTCCAACAAGTATCCATATGACTAGTTTGGGCAGAGGTAGCTATGTTCTAGATGTCTGCACTGGGACAGATGGCTCCCAAGCTAAGCTGGTCAAACACAAGACACAAGATCTCCTTTAGACATGAGACTCTCATGATGATCCAAACAGTGGTGTTTCTAGGCCTACATGGTGGCAAAAATATTATGGACATATGGAAGCTTTACTGACCAAAATTGAAGATTGCCATCCACCTGTGCAGGTTTTCGTTCTTGAACATGAGAACCTTTTTTAGAAAGGGAAGAATCAGCTTCTGGCGTTGCCTGTCTTTAACTAGATAACTGGCTTTGTTCACATGCCTGACTTTCATACAATGAGTTTAGGTAAAAATATTCCTTTGACTCAAATTCACACTGCACATTTCTACAAAAAATTAAACCTTGGTTTCTTGTGTATCAGGCTGGAGTAGAACCATTTAAACCACTGTTCCTTACCAGCTGGCTTCCAAGCACGTTTTGTTTAACCGCAGAGAGGTCACATATGTTTCTGAATATAATAAAGAGCAGCTTTTTTTTTTTTTTTTTTTTCCCAAAATGTGAATGTAAAGATAAAATGAATCCTTTAGGTACTAATAAAAACCCATGAATGAACATAATTTACTACTGCAACACTTCCAGTAGATATCCTTCTGCAGAGTGTCAACACTGGATTTCAAACCATAGCCAAAATAACAAAATCAATATTATGCATTTTTTAAATGAACACAATCTCTTTGCAGTTCATCACCTTTTCCAGTCATGAATTTTTCCATGAACTCCTCCCAGGTTCCTGGGTCAGGCATTCCTTTATTCATTCTGTGGAAATGGTAGTATGATACCAGGTTGTCTTTTGCATTTCTCGCCACATAGATTACCTTTATTGATATGAAAAGAGAGAGAAAAATTAACTTACACATGGTTATATAGATATTAGGCACCTCCTGGAGTTTTCTCTTGGAGCCTGATGACAGTGGCTTAAGTGAATTTGCTTTGAAGCTGCCATTTTCTGAAATCCAGCTCAGGTAACTTTCTTTAGTTTCACACAGGCTTTGCACATTAAAGGGAAAATATCTCGGGAGACCTTTAGGTGTCATAAAGATTCTGGAAACCATACTCAGTCCTGGTTTATGTCACTTTATTTGCGGGTGAAGTATAATTGAGTCCTACCTCCTCAGACTTACCTTACAGTTTTGTTCCCAGAAGGAGGGAGGCACCAGCTGCACAGGGAGATGAGTTTTTATTGTTCGTGGAGAAGGCATAGCTTCAGCTAACTCCAGGCCTGTGGGATGTTTCATTATGAGATGTGACTTGTTCTCTAAATTGCACTAGCACTTCTTTAATATTCTCATATGTGGGATTTTGACTGTGACTTTTCAGCAGTTCACCTTGCAATGATCATTCGTCTCCAGAGCAATTATGTAGCAGTGTAACGTACACAACATTGCATAGGCATCTTTGGTGTTTCTAGGTAAATTTTTACCTATGTATTCAAGGAGGAAAGGGGGAACGATAATTTGTATCTTCTTGCTTTCTCGGGCCCATGTCTAACTCCTGCATTCCAAGGGATAATGATGAATACTAATTTATATTTACCCAACCAAAGTTTTTCCTTCGCAATATTTAGTGATCTCCTTTCACTTTGCAGGTAAGAAATTTTTGTTTCTTTCTAGGATACAAGAAGAATAGACTGCATCACTAGACTTTCTGTATGGCATGTAAAGAGAAACTAGGAGAAAGATGGACAGTATATTTTGAGTAGCTATGGATATATGGGAATATTTGGGAATATCTGGTGATACATGGAGATGTGTTATCAACACCCCCCTTTTTAAACATCTATAATGACCTCTATTATTCTTTTTTCCCTATCATTGTCTTTCATCCTCTATCATCGTTTATAATTTTTTGGTCTCTCTCTCTCTGTCAACAGTCTAGCTTACAAGAGAAAAAGTAGCACTTCTGCTGCAGTTAGTCAAGATCAATGTGAAGAGAGTCAGGCTTAAAGATTTCTGTGGAGTGGGAGCCCTTGTTGGGGGAAGACTCATAGGAAAATGTCTTTGCAAAACAGCCAGGCCTGCTGGTTGCCTGAATGCCCCATAGCTCGTTTAGATGACTAGGCCCTAGAATTTAACAGCAGTTACTCAAAACAGTAGCAAAACCACTGAAAACATCATCCACGTTTTGGGAATACATCCATGACATAGGTTTCTCTTCCATACAGCCCCTAATCAGAAAGTGGGATTCAGTTGCTCCCACACTGCCATTTTATGCATATCTGCTTGTTTAGGTACTGTGGAGTATCACACACAGCTTTCAGATGCCACTCCAAAACAGCATGGTCTTCAGTAGCCCCCGAGTTACATCTGCTAGCTTTGCATCAGCTTGAGCAGCACTAGATGTCTATGTTAAAGCAATTGAACTGATCCCTAATACCCAACATGGTGCATAGCTCAAAGCAAGTGGGACCTTTCCCAGGAAACCTGTGGCATCAACACCGGATGCTTGTTTTGTTTCAGTTTGTCTAAAATACAAATGTATTTATATAATATTCACCTGAGTAATTCACTTCTGAAGATGCTTGGATAGACCACTCAAGGAAAGGATGGCGTCTGTAAGTAGTGGCACGTCTACATTTCTCAACATCTCCATTTTGTTGAATCATATCCACTATCTCCTGTGTCCATGTGGTACCTGAAAATGTCAGTGTTTAGAGGTTTCCCTCGGGGATAGCCAAGAGTCTCTCCTGCTAGGGAACTGAAAGCTGGAAGGATGAACTCTATATTAACGGAGGAAGGAACAGCACAGAAGATGATGGACAAAGTGGAAAGAGAGGATAATGGAAGAAAAATGCATAATTAAGAATACAAAGGTAGTTCCCAAAGCACAGTTTCAGGGATTCCATTTTAGACAGGCTTCTTCTTGCCAACAGAAACAGTCTCCACACCCACTCCAGTAATGGAAAATGCTCTGGGATAATCTCACTATTATTTGGAGATTGTATCATTTGTAGAGAGTAATGAAATCCCCCCTTCCCAATTTTCACACTTCAACATTTATTTCCATCCTGAATTTGAATGAAAAAATGAAATACCTGAACTTTGAGTGAGTAAAAATTTAATACAGTTTGAAAAAAAGTTGCAGTATTTTTAATATTCCCATTTGAAATGCTTTAAATGAAGGTCAGTACAACATTTCATCTACCTGAGCTGCTGCAACATCTTGCAAAAGTTACAGTATTGTATCTCTCATGTGCCTCTTTTCCCTTATAGCCGTGATCACATCACCTTCACCATTAACCACGTCACCTTTGAGGTACTGTGGCAGGCCAGCTAGAGAACAAGCTAAGGGATAACTCGGAAAGCAATCCGGGCAGGAAACTTAACCCTTCTTGAGATGCTTGAATTGTGCAGCTCTGACAGATACAACAATTTCAACTGGACTCCTACCTTTATTTCTTTTCAGTTCAATGACTGAGAGGATTTAATCCAGGCTGGATAAAATAACATGTTTTCACTTTCAGTATACAGGAAATAAATTGGAAGCTTTCAGGTTTTACAAAAATAATGTGGATTTTTTTTTGTAATACTGTTTTGGGGTTTTTTTCCTACTGAAAATAAACCTTTAAAAATCTTGCTAATTCAAGTAATTCTTTTTTTATGATCATCAAATGTTCCTGAATCTGTTCCTGAATCCCCTAAACTGTAAATATTTTTATTAATCCAGGATTAATATTGATGCTTGTTATTCACTGTTTTTCTGTGTAGTAAGTTTAAAGGTTGTCTGACCAAGAGGAGAAATAGTAATGAACTAAGTGGCCAATCACTGAATAAAATACCAGATGGCTAATACTAATGGTGGATCTTTTATTGGCTGAAATTATTAAGTGAATTTGTTATTTCCTTAAAATAATTAACCCATTTCCAGAAATCAGTACTGGTTTACACACCAAGTTATTCCCCAAATACATAGTACGTAGTTGTTGTCAGTTTCTATTATTTCTTAGTAATGATGAGTTTTTGCTAGTCTTTGTTATCATAAATCATTACCTACTGGTGGAAAACCTTTGCTGTTGCCATTAATATGTAAGTATAAAATCTAAATCTAAGGAATTAGACTTTGACCATCTGAACTTCAATAATAATAGATGGGTGTTACTTCTGCCAAAGAAGTCAGAAGTTGCTAGTCACAGCTGACAGAGCTTCACATCTTTAAAATATGTCTGGTTTGGGATTGAACAGATATTGATCACAAAGAACAAATGTAATTTTCAATTCCAACGACAAGCATTATCCCAAACTTTTCTATTCTGTTTCCTACCCACACCAACCTGCTTTTGCGTACGTTGCAATGAGCAGATCATCAGGTCTGGCTTTGAATTTCCACACTCTGTCCCATGTGCTGCTTATTGATTCTGTGAAGGGAATGCCTTCCACTTCAACTATCTCAGCTCGGGGCATTGTCTCTTTCAGACTCAAATCTCCCATTTTATCCAGGGCCATTGCACTATATGAAGAAAGAAAGGCTTGAAATTAACATGGTTGCTCTGAAAAAAAAAATCTAAATTTACTCATCCATTCTTGAGGTCTCTTTTACTCCATGTCCTCTGATTTCTTTGGCTAGGATTTGGCCTGCCTGGATCCATATATAGGTTCTTTAAAGCTGGATCTAATTTTCAGAAATGCTTGATATATTGGGTGGTGGTTCTCAGCATCTCTAAAAATCACTCTTTGCTCATATACAAAAAGAGAAAAAAAAGCCATTATTCCCATCTTTAACATTTTATCAAACATATTTATGTAAAATTTTGAATATAAATATGTGGCCTTTGGAAGGTAAGAACAAAGTAATCAGAGGTGTGATTCAAAAGACAGCAGAGTATAACAGCTCTCACTGAAGTCAGCATACAGGACCCAACCCTTCCTCCTTAATGAAAATAAACAGAAACAGCTGCTAACACCCTTTGGGCCTCATACTTACAAAAATATTTGCAGAGCTCTTCTGTGTTTTGTTCCTGGAGCTTTTCACTCTTAGAGCTCTTCACTGTATATTGAAATTTGTTGGAGATAAATAACCTGAACTAGATAGATCATTAACTAAAGTTTGTTAGACTTTAATTATTTAAATCGATCTAGTTACATCTACTGCCTATTGTACAGTTTTACAGCAACTAGTTATTAATTTCAGAATTTCTCTCAAGGAGGCCTCTTCTTAGTCATAATCTTCAGAGCTCCAGAATCTGGTCAGAGGAAAGTCCTGCTTAAAGGGAGGCTATAGAAATTATCTCAATTAAAAAATCAGCCAGAAAAGAGAAAAGACGTTTCAATCCCACCAGCAAACTGCCAAAAATTTACTTTAATTTCCTTGTTTACTCTCACCTGATTTTACACAGATTCAGTTGAGCAGGTTGGTGGCTGGACAGTCACCCAAGAAATTAAAAAAAAGAAGGAAAAAGAACCTTGCCAGAGAAATTTTCCTGCTTGAATGTCTTCAATTCTTGGCTGTATTGATGACTGTGCACCCACTTAGATCTTCAGGCATAAGTAGAACGAAAGCTTGGGTGGAGTTTTTATACCTCTTTGAGTGTGAGGAGAGCAAAGGAGGAGATACAGCAGCAGCCAACAGCTGAACAGTTTTTCTGGCTTAGTTTATAAATTCCTGTGAAGGAAAAATACTTTGAATTCTCATCTAGTGGGAAGTGTTCCTGCCCACGGTAGGAGGAGTTGAAACTAGATGATATTTAAGGTCCCTTCCAACACAAACCATTCTGTTATCTATCATCTAAAAAGTGATTATTTACTGGCAACAACACTAAATGTTGATCAGTAGCTCCAGCAAGATTATTTTAACTTGTCCCTGTCATTGTCAATGATCTTGGAATAATTTATTTTCTTACTAATATTTAATGTAAATTGCAAAATAATTTATTATTTGTTAATACCCAAGATCAACAGAATGGAATGAATTAAAAGTTACGTGGTTGCTTTTTTACCATGTACTGCACCATGCTCATTTAATAGATGTCTAAGGGTCTGTTTCATTGCTGGGGCAGGCTGTTTATGTTTTATAGCACTTTCTAGGTTCACATCTTAATTAGCCTGGCATTAAAAGGTTAGGGATCACTGTGTGTGAGGTAATGTTTCTTGATAAGATTTAAGTCCCTATCTGTTTTTAAATCTATATGAGATACTGGGAGAGATGCTGACATACCCTGAACTAGTCACGAACACCATACTAACACTGACTGCTACAAGTATGCCAATGACACTCTTTTATCTGGTTCCCAGCTATTGAAGTCATGCTGAAAATGTTTGGTGGCATCAGGAAAAGCTGTTCTTGGGCAAAACATAGGTCACTCCAGCTGAACTCAAGCAAGTTTGAATAGATTGTGTTCATAAAGGGAAATTATTTTGAGACAGCACTGCTATCAGGCATTGCCTCTGTCTTCTGAAGGCATGCAAACACTGTGAGTACTCAAGGTGCTCTTTGGTCATCCTTTGGATGGCCTGGCAATGTTTGTATCTAAAAAGGCTTTCTGTTACTTTAATTTTTTGAAGACATTTCACACATAGTAATCAAATGAGGATGTGGCCATCCTTGCAGTATTTCTACTCTTGTATGGAAGGCTAGTCAACATGGCCAGTAGTGTCTAGAGATTCAGCTGACCAAACATGAGCTGACTTGCACAGGTTAGCTCTTCACTGACTGTGGGAAGAGTGTAGCCATCTAGGTTGCAAAGAGACACTTATATTTTAAAGCACAGGTGGGAACTGCAGATACTCTGCCCTGGAGGTGTCGAGTAAGCTGAGTTGAGCTGGTGCAGGGCTCTTCTGGATATCAATAAGAAAGGCCTGACAACAAATGACTTAAAGATAACTGCTTTAATAAGACAGTATAATAATAAAAATACAGTTAGTGGGTAATTTTATGTCCCTTCAGATGCTGAGAACCTTGCATTTGTTCAGTGTCAGATGCAGCCCAGGTGGGTTTTTCCCAGGGCATGCTGATCAGGTCCTTTCCACAGAAAGAAGCTCCTCCTTTTTGGTCATTCAAGCTATTGAATAGTTTTTCCTCATAAGAAAACAACTCTATTCATGAAGGATATTCACAGAAGAATTTCTTGTTGCCCTTTTAGACAAAGTCAAGGCCAGGCAGGAGGCATGATCACTGGTACCAAGTGGGAGCTGCCTGCGGGCTCCTGTTACAGGCTGAGTTTATCCTGCAGTGAAGGGATCTGCGCAGCACAGGCTGCGCCTGCTCAGGTTAGCTGTCGTGTGGATCGCCGACTCCTTGTCCAGTGCTCTTTGGGTCAGGATCACCACCTTCCACCTCTTGATCCACATACAGGCAGAGACTTTTCTCACACAACTCACAGCACAGAGGTAGTGAGTTCCTGTTGCAGGGCTGTGAAAGCTAGCGAATTTGTTCAGCATTCCTTGTACGATTTCAGCAAAAGTTTCTAAAGAATCGGGAAAAAACCCCAAGAAATTAAGAGGACTGCTCGATTGGCTTTAAGCCAACCACTTTATCTTTTTCTGGCTTTGACACTGAGTTTTTCTTCTGAAAGGCTGGCAACACTAGAACTAACAACGCAGAACAAGCAAAGAATATACAATTAAGATATAATAATACTGTTTCTGGTCTGGGGTGGGGCTTTTTTGTGTGGTTTTTTTTTTTGTTTGTTTGTTTGGTTTTTTTTTTTGTTTTTAATGTGACCATAACTTTTAAGTTTTGTCGTGGGAGGATTTTCCATTTTCCTCTCTGTGTTAAACTGGTGCTGATTCTCTTTGTCCTTCTTACACCTGCACCTGGCAGTTCATTTGTTGCTTTGAAATGGTATTCACGCCCCTTTCAGTTATACAACCGTCCTGATAATGCAGTAATCCCCAAAGCACATCAGCTGGTGTGTCTGAACAAAGAAAAACCCAAGAGCTGTTTATCGAGTGGTTCTCTTTTATTGCAGCTGTGAATCTGAGTAGCCTGTGAACATTACACTGTGCCAGATAAGCTGGAGTGGGGTCAAAAAATGCTGCCTGCAGCTTTAAAACTGCTTTCGAAATAGTCAGTGGGTGGTGGATTTCTGTTGTGAAATACGGAGTGGGAGGTGAACTGGTCAGCCTAGGGACTGGACTGGAATCATGGTTTATTGGGCCACTGTAAAAAAAGACCAGGCACTCTCTGCAAAGAGTTTCCCCCAGGTTTCCACTGACCTTTTCTTGAGTGCAAACTGCTGTCAGGTATTTCTTCATGTAACATACACTGGGTTTATTTTAGTTTAGTTTAGTTTCTATTTTATTTTGTACTGTATTTTATATTTTATTTTGGCTTGGCTGAAAACACCTAGATCTTTACATGGAGTGGAAAGCTACAGGCCACTCAACAGAGATAATAATGAGAAGAGACTGCTGGGTGCTCACAGCATGGAGACAAGTGACTGTGAATCAGGAATATGTTTATCCTTGGAAGTATCCTTGCTGTATAGCACTGTGATTTGGAGTAGTTAGCATTGGGTTTCATCGTCACTAAACTTAGAGAAATCTGCATCAGATCAGCAAAGGAAGTACAAAGGGAAAGCAGAGGTACCTTTATCTTACTGTTGTCCTCATCTCACATTCTTAAATCTACACGTTAACCCAACAAGTTTTCATTTTATCACAGTGTGATAATTGTCCATGAGTCTCTCATTTAGTTCTAGCTAAAATTCTCATTTCAACACACAGCAGTTTGTAACAGGGACAGAGAGGTTCAGGAATATTGTTGCACAAGGTAACCAAGTTGCTGGGGTGGCTGCTCAGAGTGCTGCCTGCTGGCCTGGGCTGGATGGGGCTGCCTCCTCTTCTGGTCTGTGTCAGGATACAGCTTCCCTTTGGTACAGCGTACCCGGAGTTGTTTTGGGGATAAGCGCATGTTTGCATTATTTACTTACTTTTATTCAGGCATAGATTTATTTCCATTTCTTCTCATTTTTCCTTAGTGTGGACTGAAAAACAGAAGTGTATGTCCTGGGGACCGTTGGGTATTTGGCAGATTCAGGATCCCATTAATACATGCTGCTGCTGTGCTTCAGGGCTATCCATACCCACACCATGCTGTTCCTGACATTAATGTGACTAGTTATATGAGCAGAGATATTCAAATGTTACTGACTAGAACATCTGAAGGGAGTTGAGCAAAGCTAAACAGCACTACAGTGAACTCAAAACTAGAAGAAAGCAGATGAATAGAGACATAGTTTTCTTCTGTTAGCTATCTGGAGTCGGGTCTATGTTGGTTTTTGCTCTTCTTCAGGTGAGATCTCCTTTAAAATATCTTCTTTCACTGCTATTAAATTTAGGAGTTTTACGTTTTCTAGCTTGAATAAAAGTTATTCAATTACTATCTGAAGCTTTTTTTTTTTTTTTCTTTAAATCTTTAGTGGAGCATTTCTTATTGAAGAATGAGATCTGTGGCAAAAGGTTCTGTTTTATTAACTAATAGAAAGTTCTAACATTTCTATATTAGCTCTTTTTACTCTCTGTGCAATGAGTGTTTCAGGGATCATTTGTATATAGAGAAAGAACATTTGAAAGAATGTGGGTAACTCAAAAATGGAATGGATTACATCAGATTTTAAAAACAACTGACAGAAATGTGCCTTGGATAAGGAATGTGTCTCAGGCTAGTGGACATGAATAATACTCAGACAATTTCAAGGCAGAGGAGGTATTTTTTTGTTCTCATTTTGACATTGGATTTGAATATTTTTGCAATTAAAATTTAATCAAGAATCACAGTAGGACTTTCAAATCATGTCAGAAAAAGTGTGTTTTCTTGTTATTTCTACAGGATCAGATGAAGTGGAATGAAGGCTACAAATCCTACATCAGTATCAAGGACTGTAATATGGTTTTAAGTCTGATTTTCATTAGATTTTGCCTGTATTCAGCTGTCTATATGATCTAGGACACTATATCTTATAAATTAAAATCTATATTAAAATCTATAGCTGATACATTTGAGTTAAAGAAATTTTTTCCTTGTTATTCTTAGTCTTTGTATTACATTTCTCTAAAACTCTAGTCTCCCTCTGCTGGACAAAACACAATCTTTATTCCAAAAGATGTTAAAATCTTAAATTTAACATTATGTTTGAAAGCTATTGAAACCCTTAGATACTAACCTGTATTTCTCATTCAGAAAAATGCACTCTGGAGAAACAAAAGAGCACTCTGGACTGGCTAAGGCTTCACTTTCAGGTTTCTTGAATTTTAAAGCTGGTTGTCTGCATTAGTCTCTTGATTACTGAATTAAACTGACCTGACTATCAGTTGGTGAGCAACCTTAGGCAAGGAAAGCTTTTGGTATTGTGAGATGCATCTAGAGTTAATCACAAATATGTCCTGTCATAGACTCCTGGCTTTCACAGCCCATATGTTGTCAAGAACAGTCCTGCAGGTATCTGTAAAATAGGAACAGTACTAATGTGATGTACTTGTGATGGTTATTTAATGAATCTCTGGGTTGCAGCCAGACACAGTTGAGATAATCATCACATATATTTATGTAATAGCGAAAAAAATACTAAGGGAAATGTTAAGTGTAAACATGGATTGAAAAGTCCTAAGGCAACCCATTTAAGCACAGTACCTAAGTACCATCCTTATCAGTAAAGCACTTAGATTCCATTA